GCGCTTTTCGAGCATTGCGACTGACTTAGCACATGGTACGGATCGGGGACCTCCATTGGCCGCTGCGCACCTGTATGTGCTGTGAAACTTATTTGCAGGGTCCATGTCTTGTCCAGCAGCGCAGCTGAACATTGCTTTTCTCGTGTAATTATCTCCGTTATGAAGGAAAAAAGCATTGCTCGCAAGTGAAAGCCGTTGTGCGGCTTTCACTTGCGAGCAATGCACTTGCGAGCAATGCACAGTAAACCATCTTGCGACCAATGCCAAACTTGCGATCAATGCATCGAAATCAAAACCAATGCATCAAAAGTCATTCACACCGGTCAGCCGGAAAGTTCGTGATGCGGCAATTGGATCATGTCAGCACCAATCTTGCGAGGTTGAAAGAGCTCGCAGTGAGAGAACTTAGCAGGGACGACATTGCCATTATGTACGACAGTATGCGGCACAAACATGGCCGCAAAATGACATGACACTGGACTTAGTTTGGATTTCACAGTCCTGTCGCACTTCTTCCTAGCTTGCGGTTGGCACGAGGCTCTGCCAGATGGAGCGGAAGTTTGGCAAGCGTTTCATGGCCCTGTCTGTGAGCGAAATGTCTGTGAAGAGTCGGCTCAAAAAAGCCGAGAGGGAGAAACTCATGGGGCTGGCGTATTTTAGTCGCTGTGGCCACTACAAGAAGGGTTGTTCTTTTTGGTGTGGAAATTTCATCATATTTAATGATATCTTTCATAAATAAAAACTCAATTTTAACTTTAAAAGTCGTTTTTCTCAAAACACAAATTTCGCCATTTTTTTTCAATGTGCCCCTCCTTTTTTTGGGCACTTCTAGTGCTCGGATCTGCATGAAATATTGCCCAAATTTTTTCCAAAGTATGACAAATGCAATAGCCTACTTTAAATTTAAATATTTAATTGTATAATAACAAGAACTTCTATGTAAACCTTTACTGGGGTAGGTGAAATATGGGCTTTTTACGTCTATTATTTTTCATGCCTATTACATATTTTGTATGTGCTTTCTAATTAGTTATTTGCATTCTACCCTTTATTTCAAAGATTATGAACTATGAACAGTAAAAAATTACAGAAGTTCAGGAATGAAAAGAGGGGGGCAAAAAGGGTAAGGTTTTCAATTTTTCATTTCGCAGAGCTAAAAGTAAGCAACTTGCAAAAAAACCAATTATATATTTGAAATCAGCAAAAAAGTTCCATAAACAGTGCAAGTTTCATTGCTCTAGGGTGAATATTAAAAAGAAAGTGTCTTCGAGTAGCATCTCCGCTTGACAAACATGATAAGAACATGATGACAAACATATAAGCATTTGCCTTCTTTCTCTTCTTCTGAACCGCAAACTTGTGATGGACACTTTTCCGTATCCGACAACCTTATGAACCAGACCCACAAGGAATCATCACATTATATCCTTAAAACCTTATTTCTGCAGAACAGATGCTCATAAGTTCTCATATTTTGCATGCACGATCTCAGATTAGAATGAAATAACCCAGGCATCCTCATAGCATCTATTCTTCCTTTGCATCAAAATAGCACTGCTCGCCAATTCAGGTTTCAGATCTTTTTCATTACAGTGTTTTCTTGTTGTCTTATATGTATTGTCTTTATTCTATGCATATGTATTATTTTTTTACCCTGAAGAGTGAAAATGATCGTGTTGTTTTGCATTTAAGGGGAGACGCTCCTCGAAAAAGTTTTTTTTTTATTTCTAGTAATAGAGACTTGAAAAGTTTGTTATTAGTATAGTTTTTTATGCAGATTTCAAATATGCAATCATTTTTTGTGTAGCTGCTATAATTATTGAGTTATGCCATAAACAATAGCAAAAAGTTACTTTTTTTGCGGGCACTCTTTTATGTACTAAACTTTCAGTAAAAGCACTGTGTCTGATCTTATTTGACTCTTGGTAGATTGAAAAGTGCAAATATCTATATAGATATGTCACAGAAATATTGGAACCAAGAAAAAAAAAATTGTATTGAATGACTTATTATTTTCAATCTCCCTTGAAACAATAAGCTAATATTTTCACAACTAATGCTGGTAGGCATTGCAATTTAGAGTAGATATTTGCATTCTGCATGTGTTGAAGAATATGTGTGCCAAGTTTCGTTACTATACAATGAATATAAGTTTCTAAAAGGCTGCCCGGAAAACGTGAAACTGTCAGAAAAAATGAAAATGAGAAAAACAAGTTTGAAAGTTCGCAAAGTTGGCATTTATTAGGAAATCATTCTTTTTGCATCAAATTGGGGCACAATGAAAAGTACCTTGCCTTGAATGCACTGCAAGTGTCTAGAAGTCCCCTGCACCATAGCTTGGTCCTTCACGGCTCTTGCGGTCAGTGTCCTCAACACGAGCTCTCTTCGCTGTGTTGCGACGGTGTGCCCTCGCTTCTGCAGTTTGCTTCAGGTTCATCTTCCTGATGCGCATGACGTCACAGTGGTCACCATGTGTGGCCAGATCTTGTGAGGGGAGAATTCCAATGCCTTCGAGCACTTCTTCAAAGCCCCTGTGGCCTTTGTTGTACCAGAGTACAGCAAGAGCGGTGGCTGTCTCCACAGTTGTTCTGGAGGCGAACTTTGTTTTTGGACATAGCAGCCATATCTTGCTGTTCAGCGATTCGGCTGCATTCTGTGTCCTGCCATGAAGGCACCGAATAAGGAGTTTCTCCTCTGTAAGGCGCTTGTAGATAGGCATAATTGCCAATCCTTGAGCCTTCGTCAACAGTGGGGTGTGGCGTGGTGCAGGCTCCCCCAGTGCTTCCGCACGCTTGTGCTTGCACCACGAATTTGGTCACGCGGGGCAAAAGTTGTGGCTACTGGCACCATCACTGGAGCAGCAATGAAAATACGATGCCCATATGGCGGTGTACATATTTCGGACACTGTCCTTGTTGCTCGTGATGGCGATCTTGTAATATGTTTGTAGTTTTATTATTGTCGCATCTTTCAGTTTTTCGCCTCGTGGCAGTGGCGTTGCCAATTTCCGTAGGGCAGTTCCCAAGCGCTTTGCAACGTGGTTCGTGCACTCTTCTACAGTATACATTTGCCTCGCAGACTGCAGTGTAGGCCTTGCTGTCACCATCACTTAGGAAGCTGGTGAATCGCAGTGGAGTTTCATAAGACAAGGTCCTCTGCCATATATTGACAGCTGCCGCAGGTTCCATTGCATGGGATGAGCAGTCAGTGTTTTTTTGGCAAACTGGAAGATGAAAAGCTCACCATATCTCTTCATCCTCCCCAAGGTCCCTGTGTATACTGCAAGCATGGCAGTAGTTCGAAAGAACTTCAAAATCGAGGCAGAGCCCCATGTCCAGGGACACGACTGTGCCCACTCCATTGTGGCTTTTATGACCTCTTTTCTGCCAGGTGCCATCAAACATGACTGGCACATATCTGCCGCCGACTGCGTCCTTCGTGATGTTTCGTGCCTGGTGCAAGTTTTTGCTCACTGCCGTCATCGCCGCACCATGGAGCTTCTTGCAAATGCCGTTGAATGTCTTGTGATGCATCGGGCTCGGAAGACCGATAATCGCACAAAATCGTGAAAGTTGGTTGTGGCCTGCGCCTATAGCGCGTGCTGCCAGAACTGCCTTCACGTTTACAGCAAAGCTGTCACGCGAGCTGCCGCTGTCAAAACGAGCGCTCGTTCCTTGGTCCCTGGCCGAAGCAGTACGTCTCGACGTGTGCGTGAACGAAAGTGCAGATTCAGGGCAATCAGAATTTTGACAGCACAGTTCGAGGAATGCCGAAAGTCCTTTGCGCTTTCCAGCTGCCTCTCGCACGCCGAGCGTCCGTTAGCGGCAGGTTGGGCATTGCGCACCCGCCACAAGTGCCGTCAGAGCATCGATTTCGCAAAGCAGCATGTTCGCAGTAGCAGCATCTACCGGTCTACGTTCACTCTCGAAGAATCCAATCTTCCTTTGGGATGCACTGACGAATTCCACGGCAGCGGCTATTTCACAACCACTGTCGCAGGGTTCGGTGACGGTGTTAGGCCTATCCGAAGTCGGAGCGTCGGGGCGTTGGTCGGGGGCGACATCGTCGTTCGCTGTCGCTTTGCGAAGCGTCCGACGCCGTTTCCCTCGATACTTGTGGCGAGTTCTGAACTTTCGATTATCTGAACTGCACTTCTTCGGGCTTGCCATGACGCAAAAATGCAGAGAAACGCAGAAAAACTCGATCGCGACGTCCGAGGCTTCGCTCTTTTGCCGGAGAGATAGGAGGGGGAGGAGCGTGGAGCGCACCGCCGTCCAATGGCGGCCTCGCGCTGTGTGCCGCGATATTCAAAACGCGTGACGTACGCATTGTTTTTCTCGTTTTTTGTTTATTCTGCGTGAAGGCACGAGACTGGCTACTAGTGGATTATGAAGGATACGGCCTTCGCAGCATGCGTGCACGATTGCAAATGGCGGCCAACGCGTCGTTTTCGCAACAGGACGACGCGAACTTCGCCGTTTTTCGCGACTTTCGCGCATTTCTCGCGTCACCGCTGCCCACTTGGAAGCATTTTTTGATAATTTCTCGTGCGAATTTCAGCTTGATATTTTCAGAAGTAATAGATTATAGTCCAAGGATGCCAATACAGCCGGAAAAAAAAAAAGCGAAAATTTTCCGGAAAACCGTGACTTTTCGACCCGCGTCTCCCCTTAATGATGTATTTATTCCTACAGTAATCCCAAAACATAATATAGTATTGACATGTGTTTTCTCTTTCTTTTTTGTTCATTAAGCCCATTATTCATATTGTTGTGAAAAAGTTTTTCATGTCGCTCTTTCTGTTTGCTATGACTGCATCTCAAAGTAACCATAAACAATCTGTGATGTCACTTTTTGTATTACCCATGTCCTATTGAAACTGCCCACCTGCTTGGACCTAAGGGTCTGCAGTATGTAATAAATAAAAAAATAATACATTTGAAAATATTGCAGAGTCGCTTTCACGTCGTTTCGTTATTTAGTGACACATGATCACCCACCTTGCGTACGGCCAGCAGGTATTTGATGCCCAGTAGGCCCCCGTGACGAGCCTCCCATTCGGGCCGCTGCAGCAACTGCAGAAGCACCCGCAACACACCACAGATGCCTTCCCCTAAAGCAGAAGAATGTTCTGCACCATCTACGTCAGAATTCAGCTTGTCACTCGTCATGAAGTTGAGAACATGGCCCAGGGTTTGGGCACAGGTCTCACGCACAGGAGCCACTACCTGCAATGGCAGAACATGCATGTTACACATATAGCAAGGGCAACTGGCTGATTTCCTAACAAACAAATGTCACTATAACGAAGTCCCATCATACACAAAAATAACTGTTATATTTAGTGTCTACTATGGCCACACACAAATTTAGAAGAAAAGAAATGCCAGGCATGCACAGAAGATGCAGCACAGTCACAGTAAAAGCCGGAGAAGCAGCTTTCCTAGAGCCTGTTCTAAACTTTCTTAGTGGCAAGGTAGCCCCTCCGCCATAATTAACCATGATTCTTTGAATGAAAGAAGAACTCATTATGCCACTGTTTACACTTCAGTGCTAAAGTAAAGAACCCACTATGCATGTGTAAAGCATCATGTGCACTATGGTGATGCTGTGGCTTGCCCTTATAAGAGAAGAACCCAACATGATACCTGCACAAGGTCTTTCCGTGAAGGAGATTCAAGCACCGTCATGGCTTTGTGGTAAAATAATGAACTACCATAGAAAGGGCAAGGATTTATATCGAGCCTCATACTGGGTATTTATTTTAATACTGTGCACGACAGTGGTTTCAGACCTTTGTGGTAGCGATAAACAATTACGCCACCAAAACTGGCTGTTGTTTTCAATAACTTTCACAGAAAGAAACTGTTACACTTTGGTGTATGGGAAGGTCATGACAGCAGAACTCTTAGAACAGTCAACAACTGATCATACAAGATATTCATATGCCACTTATTTCAATTGTTTTCCCATCAATAAAAATGTATTCCACCTGCTCACCTGCCACTAACACTAATTTTTAACTGCATTTTTTGGGTTATGCAATCACCCCCAGTAAAATCGTTCATGCCTCGTGGCACGTACATGTCTCGTGGACGGACTCCATTTGGGTTTAATCACCAAGCGAGAAGCAGTATTGTGCTCGCACACGTTTATCATTATAATCATGAACGGTGCAGCAGGGCCGGCAGTGACACTTGTCGATGAGGCTAAGTGGCCGGACAGAAAAAAGTGCTCATGCCGGGTCATAACTACAGGCGGCGCTGACCAACACTTCCAAGTTTCATTCACACATATACCCAATAAAGTGCATAGGGGGATAGCCGCCGTGGTAGCTCAGTTGGTAGAGCATCGGATGCGTTATTTGAAGGTCGCAGGCTCAGTCCCTTCCCACTGCACATTATCTTTTCATCCACTTTTTTTTTTTAACATTTACATTACAATTACCTCCATCCCCACACTTTTTTTGGCATGATTACTTGTTATGATTCATTAATATAGTCTAACAAAAAATAACAAGCCCTTAAATGTACACTAGTTTCCTTCTTGTATTAGTTATGTTGATAGAGTGTACCATAATATTGTATAAGGTTGATTTAGCGTGTCACTAGTGATGTTTTTTTATTCAGGTGACAATTTCGTTGCTTGTAAAAGTAGTTGAATAAAGGTACACAATCTTTGGATTGACTGCGTCGACTTGTTCTGAAAGTTGGCGTGTACGTGTCTTGCAGATGGGCCGCATTTAGGTTCAACTCTCGAACAAGAAGTGGTATTGTGCACGCGCTCATTTATCATCATCATCATCACGTTTGGCGCAGTAGCGCTGGCAGTAACGCTGGCCAGACAGAAAAGAATGGAAAATTTCTCTCTCTCTTTTTGGCATGTGGCACCTAGTGTGGATGGTCGTCTCCTGACAAGGTCCCGCGAGATGCAGCAACCTCAGGTAACGTCCCCCACAGCGAGTCGAACATCAGCGATGGCATATCGGTGTTATCTAGTATTGGCTTTGTTGATCGAGTGTATGAGAATATTGTATAAGTTTGATTAAGCGTGCCACTAGTGACATTTTTTATTTGGCTGGCGATATCGTCGTCAGTAAAAGCAGTTAAATAAATGAACACAACATTTGGTTCGACTGCATCTGCTGTGCTTGTTCGGTCCAAGAGTTCAGATCTCTTGAGCAGCGACTCATTGCTCTTGTTCTCTCTCGACTCAACTGTCACCTCATTTCACTGCCTTCGCATCGCATCTCACCTTGATCCTTGCTTCCTTGTTTTTAAAGTCTGCAACCTCAATTTCTGTAAGCTATCTGTAGCCATGCTGACGTCTTCGATTTAGCTGCGGCAGTCATTGAAAAACGGAGGCTTCCACGACCAAACAAGTCTTTCAAAATGCCAACCAGCACTTCATTAATTATGTCACATATATTCGAAGGCTGCAAATGCCAATGTGCAAGTTTTTGTTCGTAAATGGACAGGTAAAGTAATCAGCAAAAATGCAACAAGTTTAAGAAGCAGAGATAATCGAACCAAGCGCTCACAGTGAACAGCTCAGCACGCTGTCCAGTTAGGGTGTCTCGAAACGAAAAATCCGCACTCTTGGAAGGAACAGACAGAATGGCTCATGAAGGAACGAAAGGAATGTAGCTCATGAAGTGTACACCTGGTTGCAGTGCCTGTTGACGCAAGCCCTGCTCTGCCCGGAGCCAAAGGGTCGCCGGCCTACCAAAGATGTCCGTAATGAGCCTTAAAGATGGACCAAGTGGGAATGTTGCTCACATGGTTGTTATACCACAGTTGGATCATTTTTACCAAGTAGAACTGGACGTAGTCAAGTTTCATTTGGTCATTCCATTTATTGCTGGCACCGACACATTCATATTTGGACAGCCAATCATCAAAGTCTCAGTCTCCTGAGCCAGTTAAGATTCGCGGACCTTACCGGCGATACACGACGCGGCATAAGACGTGGACTGCCAAAGGTCATGATTGGAGAGAGGCGTCTTTGGCTATGTCGGTAATCGAGGTAGTTTCAGAGAGCAATGGTCCAGGTTGGTACTGGGAAGCTTCTACCAAATGGTTTATTGATGAGTTGACCTAGCGAAAGTCTGGAGACGTCAAGCGGCGAAGAGTGTGGAACGTCAAAGAGCGGCAAGCATCAAGCAGCCTAAATCAGGGCAAGCGCAAGCTCGTGACCAGCGCTACTGCTGGCACTAAGGCTTGCTAGCTTGCTCATGTGCTTCGTCGTCGTCCTCTCTTCTCTACCCATTAAATAATCTCAGTGGTGAAATAGGGCACATAGGTTCGGGAGCCGCCCTAGGCACAGGCAAAGTGTCTTTTGTAGCAGACTGAAGCATAAAGAAAGAAGTTTTGGAGTAGGATTGGAGCAACCAGAAACACCTTTTCTAACAAGCTTGGAGCAATCGGAAAGAGTGTTAAGAGCAGATGTATCACCGTCTCACTTGAAAAAAAATATCTGTCCAATGCTGCCTTTCGTGAACACTAGGCCAAAATGTGCCTTATCTGAATGTGCAAACATGCTCAGTGGCCCATTTAGTTCTGTATGATATACCATAGATACTCGCATAATAGGCGCATGCACAGTATGGTCGCAAGAAATAATTTTTTTTCATTTTCGAGCATAATAGATGCACTACGAAGTTGGCCAGGATCAGTAGTAGTTGTGTACCCAATTTTCACGGATGCAATTTGGTGTCCTCTATGTTGACTGGAGCGAGGAAAAGGAAAGAAAATAAATTGGTCCCGTATCTGCATGGCTTACTGCCAAGGACGTCGACAGATGAAAAGTCTTCTGTCTAGAGGTGCTGCATTATTGTTACTATATATGCGACCTAGGTAGCAGAGTTGCGCCAAGGTACGCCATGTTGGGCTCCGTCAAAATGGGGGAAAGCTACTTTCCGTCTACGTAGAAGCCATGCTCACAGAACGTTGCGAGTACGTTTTTTTTTTTTAATTCTTTCTAATGCTAGTAAAACTAGAACAGTTGGCTCAATTTACCAGCCGTGATTTCACGCTGATGCTTCTAGTATGTAATTATTGCCCCAAATAGCCCATGTGACAAACAAACACAGGTGCTATAAATCATAAACAACTTTTATCTTTACTCTTTAGTTTACCATCGTGCCAAAATATCATGGTATCTCTCCATTGCATTTGGCTCCCGTGCGCTAATTGTGGGAGGGGCTAAATTGCATTTGGGAATGCTCAACCCAATAAGGCTCGATAGAGATAAACATGCATATTTGACCTGCATGTACAGTAAAACCTCGTTAATTCGAAGTCACTGGGACTGTGAGAAATGTTCGCATTAGGCGGATTTTCGAATTGACAGAACATACAAAAAATGGGATGCAAAGAACATGAATTTCTTCAAAGTATAATCAGGGCTGCCCGTTCGCTGTGCTGGTTAGTTTGTGGCTCCAAGAGTTACGTTTTCCAGCAATACAAAATCACAGTTTTACAGCAAAAAAAGGGGGCGGGGGAGGGGAACGTCAAGCCTCGCTGCTGCGATCCCAAAAAAAAAAAGACATCGTAATCAGCTGAAATGCACGCCTGCGAAAAATAAGACATCTTCACTGCAACACAGTAGTACCACGCCGGCAGCATATCACCAGCTCCTCGCTGCGTCGGCTCGTCATGATGTGACCCTTCACCCATTCTTGCTAGTAAAACACAGAATTTAACAATGAACAGTGAGATGAAATTCACAATGTTTTGGCTGAAAAACATCATTAATAAAGCTTTCGAACGGAATTTCCGAAGTAAGCCTAGCAGCATTCGGCAGTTCACCTACATCACGAATTCTACCAGACTGTTCTTTATTGATTTTTTTATATTCCTGCAGAGAATGGGTAAACCATGATGCGCTGACGTTGCCAGAAGCATGCAACATGCTGCCTGCGCGTCACTGCTGTGTTGCAGCGAAGCACATCTTGTTTTCTGCAGGCGCCTGTTTCAGCTGATTACCACACCATTCTTTTTTTAACAATTTTCTTTTTTCTTTCGTGCCAGGAGAATAGAGGCCGGTGTACTTAAGCTGCCACTCAGTATATTACTACAGTACATTGCCTAGTGGCTCTTAAGGGCTGTTGTTTCCACGATTTTGTGGTAAATCAGTATCGGGAATCGGGACTGGTGCTGGCGGCCACTTTAAATTATCCACTCATACTTAAATTGCAAAATATGGGACCGTTGCAATACTTCGAATT